TGACAAGCATTAGTGTGTTAGTTTGTTGTGATATGTAAAATGAGCAAGTTCGCGGAAGATAAAGATTTTACTTTGCACGTTTTGTATATAAACTTTTCATCCACAACTTTTTCTTTTTAGTCTTTCTTTTTTTCTAATAAAACTACTGCAGTGGCAAGTAGCAAAAAATCGTCATCCGATGAAGACATGTTTACGTCCGCCCACTACGAAATTTTATTGCAAATGGTGTTGACGCTTTATGCTTGAGTGTCGCCGGGCAAGCTTCAAGCACCCGACATTCAACCCGACACTCACACATGTACTCGTTGCTGGGGTAACCAACAACGGATGCTTGAAATCGCCGACGAGCTTTAGTGCTATAAATGAAATTAATTGGTGCTCGTATATATGTACATACATATGTATATGCATGTGTGTGCACCAATCTATTAATATCGTTGAATTATTTTAATATCTATTGCAAAATTTTATACAGACAAGACTAATAACTTGAAAATAAATAAAATATAAAGCTTTTTAATATGCGTCGTTTTATAAATGGACTAAAAAAGTGCGGCAACCATCCGTCCTTCATTTTAAAGGACAGTCCTTTACTTTAACCCCCTGTCCTTTATAATTTTTTTCAAAATAAAGGACGTATTTTGTGCTTTATTTCTTAAACTGTCCTTTAAATCGGCTCTGCATTTTTCAGAGGTAAATTTTTAAACGCAGAATATGAAAAGTAAAAATGTCCCTTATAAAATATAATGAAAACTTTAGCCAATTTGTTTCGCACCCCACTTAAGGGTTTCTATTTAATCAGTAATCTTTGTACAATCTATAAAGCACAGGGAAAGTTGCGCCTAGGATCGTGTTGTACGCTGAGTTTCCAGTTCCACTGAAAGGGAACAATAAACCCCCTGCTGCACAATGGCTCAAAACTGGCATTCATTCACTTCATTTTTCACTTAATTTGTTCATTATTTCTTTTATGGAAGCTTACAATATTTGCAAGAGACAAGTTAAGCCTGATTTCTGAATTTTAATTTTATTCTATACAATTTTTTTAGTGCAAAATGCAGAAAAAGTAGCAATTTTGACGAAAATGTATTCTCTTGTTCCAGTTAATAAAGGTTACATAACAAAAACTAGTTGAAAACAAATGTATGGTTTTCTCAAAAAAAAAAAATACTCAAAAAAAATAATTTGAAATGTTATAAAAAAAAAACACACAAATAAATATATATATTTTTTGGTTTTTAGTAAAAACTTTTTGAAAAATGAACGCTCCGATGGATTATGAACATTACATTCCACTTTTCAACCACTGTGTGGCTTCGTCGGGCAGTATGAATTATGGTAACGCATTTTGGTAGCAAAGGATGGCGAAGTCCTTGAAAAGCATTTGGAATCATTTTTCGTTACAGCAGGGGAACTTATACAACTAAACAACTTAATTAACTCGCAAATATTTGATTTAAATTACAATATGGGCAAGGTACTTTTATCATACAAGTTGTATGTACGTATTCCCAAAACATTTTGAAAAAAATGTCCTTTATTTTACGTTGGTTAATATGGTCACTGTACTAAAAAGTAACCTTTGATTTTGAAATTTTAGCAAAAGTCATTCTAAACAATTTATGAGATTGAAATTGAAAAGCGTGGGGTGCATGCGTGTATGTAATACTCCTATATTGGCAATAAGAGCTAGTACCGTCCGAAAACATTGCAGTACAGATATATCAATAAAACCGTACAAAAGAAAAGGAACAGATACGTTTATAAATAAACACCCAGTAGAAATCTTAAGCATACAACATCGCTGTTGGTGGCATGAGCTCGCTGCTGTATATACATGCCAGTATAAATGAACCTTCATTTCCTTTTAACACGCGTGGTTTCTCAGAGCGTATGCGTACTCTAACCATACACTTGTACTACTGCTGTATGCATATGGCTGTATTAATCTTTCAAACATACAAAAATGCATTAATGGAACAGTATTAAAGCGTTCTTACAAGATATGTATCCCTATATGTAAATGCCACTTTTCTGATACATTCCGAGTAGAAATCTTATGCATACAACATCGCTGTTGGTGGCATGAGCTTGCTGCTGTGTATACATGCCAGTATTTGATACTTTTTCTGCTTGGCAACTGATACATTTTTTTCAAGATCGCGGCAACGCTGATCACGATGTGTGTTTATGGCGAGATGTTAACTTCATGTTGTTCATAGTGGACGTGATGTTAACTCCTCTGCTCTGTTCCGGGTCGCCATGTTATTCATAGTGGTCGTAATGTTTACTTCTCTGCTCTGGCCCGGGTTGTAATATTACGTCCGCCGAAGAAAAATAAATTTGTATGTGGTGCGTCTTCTATATACTGTTTATTCTGTGGTAATATATCAAGCAACATTGATGGGCCTTTAACAAGTACTGCTAAAAGTCGTATAAGCAACCTAGAAATAATTTTAGATTCCTCCAGCGAAAGCAAAGGCTCAGATGTAAAATCTGAAGACATTAAAAAATGTGAAATAAAAACTCAATTGAAGGCCTATCTTAAAGAAAAACGGGCTCATCTCGGTGAAAATCCTCTCGATTGGTGGAAAACTAAAGAAAAATGCGAAAAAACAGATCTGGGCCGCAAATATTTGAGCGCTTCACCCGCCGTTCCAAGTAAGCAATTTTTTAGTTCAGTCGGTCTTATATACGAGCCTCTAAGATAGGGATGCCCAAATCAGCACATATGTGTCCCGGGCGACTGCGCGTGCAAAGCTTTGCACAGCGGTGATGGCAAGCGCGCAAGCAAAAAGTTATCGGAAGGGGAAAACGAAGTCAACAGAATAGTGAGATTGTATGTGTGACAGTGATGGAAAATGAGTGTGCATTGTGCCATTTTCGGCCTTTTCGGAAGCAGCCGGCACCTACAGCACTATCGATTGGTTTTCGGCACTATTTTTGCGAAACTCAATGCAACTAATAAATATTTCTTTCAGATCCGCAATTAAAAATATTCTTTTTACATTTAATCGTATGTGCTTAAACTGATAAATGATATAAATATAGAAACGCAAGCAGAAGAATTTCGCTTCCACATTCTGCATATGCGCTTAACATTTTTGTTTAAACAAATTTGTCGAAATTTCATCATATAAATGAGTGTGAAAGGGGGCGTGGCTCATCCCATAGTCGTGGAAGTTTTAATCAGCTATATCTTCGATACCATAAGTCACATGAACTTGAAATTCGGTATACAGACATACATATCTATGGTAGGTGCTTATAATAAGGTATCCTTACTAATATTATATGTAAATCGGAAATTGAGTTTGTTTATTTGTTATGTTTTCACGCTTTAGCCACTCAACCGATTCCCATTAAATATTGTATACTGGGGCCATTTAGCCCAACTTATAATATAGGATAGATTTAATCTCGATTATGCGAGAGGGATTTTCATAGAGTACAGAGACTTTGTATAGATACATATACGTATATAAAAAAGATTCCATTTTCATGGAGGAGGCCTGCCGCCTGTTTGAAAAAATCAAATTCGACTTGAATTAAGGGAATTACTTATTTGAAAATTATATTAAAGAATGGATGACAAGAGGCTTAAAAAAGTTGTAGTTTGAAAGGGTTTCCACATGTTCGAAAAGCCAAATTTAAATTAATTATTCATAAGCTATCTAAAAAATTAATATATGGGTGTCAAATGAAAGATTGTAGATGTAGGAGGGTTGCCATCTGTTTGAAAAATCTAATTCTTCTTGAATGAAAGGAATTTGATAATTGGAATATGTATCACATAATGGACGTCGGACAAGAGGGATTTCATAAGATTTTAGTAAGAAAATAATTTGAAAAGGGTTGCCACCTGTTTTAAACTCGAGTTTAAATTAGAAATGTTATGCTTATACATGTAGAGTTTCCCAAGGTCTTTGAAGAGGGCTGCCACCTGTTATAAATCTAAATTCAAATACAATTATATTATAAGTTTAATTGGAAAGGTCTTAAAAAGGCTTTGTTTCTAAGCAACATATGAATAGCAGACTTCGATTATGGGAATTAACGGTATAAAAAGTAAAAATTTAAATCGCCTGATTTTCGCATATTTTAAGTATGTTGTGTTTAATTAAAATAAATTACATCTAATGTAGCACGTAGAAATTTCATACACTCAGCGAACTTTCTGGTATATTCCTGTAAATTCTTGCAACTTCTTGCGAGTTAGGGAACGCATCTATTAATAATGGAACAAGATTTGTAGTACAGAAAGTGATGACAGCATATATTAGTTGAACCACGGAAAAGCTTAAAGTATGGCTCATAAGGATGCCCTAAATTAAACAGAAAGAAACTGTATTCTGAATTACTGTTTACCCGAACGACGTCGGTGCTCTGCTAGTAAATAATATAAAAAAAATGTTTTAATATACAACGCTTTTATAAATGGACTAAAGAGTAGAAAATAATAATTCTCAGTCCCATGGAATTTATTTTGATAACTTTTGATTTTGAAATTTTAGCAAAA